AAAGGCTCTTCTGTCCTGATTAATCACCTACTACAGCTCTAGGTCTGTGGTGAGCGTAGTTCTGCAACACCGCTGGGAACTGCTAGGGCCAACTCTGGGAAAGTAAGGAACCATAACGTTCTGTATTGCCTGAATAAAGGTTAAATAGAGCTCACTTTGCCAACGGAGTAATCTGAGCTGCATTGCAGATCAAAAGTGTCAGGGAGACTGGAAGGTCATGGACCCCATGTTGTTCTGAACTGCCCTGTCACTGCATAAGGGGTTTTTGCCTGGGAGGAACTTGTCTGATTGATGTTCTGTTTTGGAAATGCTCTAAGTGGCGCAAAGCACAAGGTAGGCAGTTGTGCTGCACAGTGTGTGTTACTGGGGTGCCCTGCTTGCACACGCACAATCTCTGTTGTAACTTCTTTATCAAACAGATATGACACCTATGTCCCTTCTGCATACCGAGTACTCTCCTAGGCCTGGACACAAACCTGGTGGTCTGTGTAGTCTATTTAAGACACAAAAGGGTCTTTGAAGCCTACCAACTGTTCCACTTTTGAAGCTTTAATTAGGAAAATCTAAGGGCTTTTGGGGATATATTGGCTGACATGCTGTTTCCACAGTACTTTTCAGGAGTATTTTACAGTAGCAATGTGAGAAAGTTTTTGTTTTCATTTGTTTTTCACAGAAACCACTGTTTACTGAGCCTGTTTTTCTTTGGGACATTCAAGCTGCAAAACAGTTGTTTATGAGAGCACTGAGAGCAAACTGGGGTTTCTTGGGTTTTCACTTGATAGCATTGTTCATGCTTTGTTTGACAGGATAGCCAAGTAGAAAATGTCACCTACATGTAACACATTACAGGCTTGTCATGACCATGCTCCACAAGGACCCCGACAGCCCTTGGAAGCTGAAATCATGTACAAATTCAAGCTCTGCTGTGCCTCTGCCAGCCATTTTAATGTGGGAAGTTAAAATGGTGAAAGTTTCCACCCTTTCTGCCCTGCTTGTCCTTATCTCTGAGAGGAAGAGAAAGCGCTGCCTCCTACCAAGGCAGAGGATTTCTCAGTTAGATGAAATGATTTACAGGATGAATAACCACATAATGATGGGAATGAGACAAGTGCTAAATTTACTCTGTACTGGCTGATCTTGCATAAAATGAAGCCATTTAGTAGTAACAGTCACTTCACGTCCTGCTTCTGGATTACTGCAAAACATTGCTGTTGTTCCTTAGCTCTTACAAAATCAACCATTTTGCTTTGGCAGCAGTACTTAGAAAAGTAGTCATCTCCCAGCATACAGGAAATATCAGATATTTGCCAGAAACAGTTCCCTGGGGGTCACACAGCCTCTGCAGGAGGCAAATGTTCCAGGTACTCACGAAACATTTATCTTGAAAAGCCGCAGTGAAAACTGAGCTGTGCAGGAAGGTCTTTAACAAACTGCAGGAAGACTATGTTTCTGATGGCTCTGGGCTTCTCCATCAGCATGGCTAGTAACTGCTGCTGAACTTGGTGAAACAGGTTGTTTACAAGTCCTATCACAATATGAATTTTCCTGTAAGTCTGATAGGCAGTAATATACCATTATACAGACTGCATGTGCTGGAAGGTTCTCGTTTTGGCCAGACAGCAGCTTTAGGGAATTTTTCAGTATAATGTTATTCAGTTCTCTGTTTCTTGATGAAAGGTTGGTAGAGAAAGTAGGTGTTTGGAGGCTCAAAATTCGAACCAGTGTATGTGTGGGTAGGACTGGAGAGCAGGATGCAACATACCCAGTCCCACATGCCACCAAGCTTCTCTGTGCCTCAGTTCTCACTCTGTCAGATGGAAGTAGTTTATTCTTACTGGTCATGGGAGCTGCAAGTTGCACTGATCATTTGTACTGCTGTTTGGGATCAAAGGTACTCTGCGTCATTTGGGGTTCTCTGAAGCAGTCCTAGTTACTAAGTAATAGCGATGCATTATAATCTGGGTGTTTCAGCTACTACATAATGCTCAAGCCAAAATTTTTAAATAGCATCCTGCATCTGTGTTCAAGGGCTTCAGTAAACTAGTTTCCAGAAGCTCTGAGCTGCAGATACAATGAGAGATTATATAAACCCTCTATATCTGCAGAAGATTGCACTGCTGAAATCCTAGTTATTGAAGGGTTTTTTGCTTGAAAAGTCTTTCCTGAGTTAGTAAGTAATAATGGTCACATAACTCCAAAAATAAAAGCTAGGATAGTTCTCATTCAGGTGGGTGCATACATGTGCTTATGGACATGCAGAACTCTTAATGATATACTGTCTTTTTATCCAATTCTCCTCCTAGGGTATTAGAATACTCTATCAAGCAGACTAAGTTAAACTTCTAAGTGCTGCTGAACTCAGCTCTAAAATATAATTAGATAGCTCCATGTGATGGGCAGCTGCTGAGCTAACTTGAGTATGTTTCTTATGGTGTTTCTAATCATGCCGCAGAAGTGCTAGTAAGCACAGGATAATTGGTAGCATGGGCTGGGACAGTATGGTGTCTATTTCATGGCTGCTTGACTAAAGACACATAAAACACTAGCTGGATATCAGAAATGAGGAGAAAACTGCTTTGAAACAGTTATGAATATTCTGCCTTCTAAAAGGGGTGCTTGGAATGTTTTCCTGTGTTTGAACACCACCTCATTGTCATTTTGAAGAAACACTGAATGGGAGAGGGTCTGAGAGTCTTATCTCATCACAGATTAGGCAGAATCTGCCCAAGCAAGGTGCTACCAGAACAGATCTGCTGCCCATCAGCAGGGCCAGTGCGCTTCTCAGTAACAGATGTGGAATTTCATCCCGTGATGTCCTTTCCTTCTTAATGCTAGTTGTAGTGCTCCTTCTACTGGAGCTGTAGCTGCTTTTTAATTTTTTCAGCTGGAAAAATATCTGGAATCTGTTCCCTGGAGCAGGCTTGGTGCAGCAGACAGCTGTAGCAAGTGACTCAACTGAACCACCTGAGAGAGTGAATGAAACTACAGAGGACCCAGAGGAGATACAAATGAATAGAAAAGGAGCGAACAGTCTGACAATGGTGCACAAACCCATTATCAGTGGCTCTTGAATGCCCTTCCAAACAACTTTCTGGATGCAGAATGCCCACTGAGACACACTAATATTTTATTAATTTTTTTACTCAGTTCAGACCAAAAAGGCAAAAGGCCATATTCTGTGCCTTGTCTTTGCAATTCCTGTTGTAATGCATGTACCCTGGAGAGCAAATCTACAGCTTTGTGGAAGCACTTTTGGGGAGTTTTATGTTCAGGTCTCCTTCTTCCTGCACACATTACATATTCCTACCTCCTACAGAACAGGGCAGGAAAGGTTTCTGGGAAACTGGGCTCTGTCTTTTTGCAAAAGGACAGGACAGACGTGCCCTGAAGTCCTCCTACACAATACCAAATGCTGTGCATTCAACAAACCTTCTGGTTAATGATCTTGCCCATAAGTAATGTTTTAACTATATAGTAGCTTTTGTTTGCTTCAGAAGCCACAAAGCCTAAGAGGAAGTGTAGGAGAATGTGGGCAGAACGGTGGCCAGGAGCCTCATGACCTCATCTTGTTCCGCCACGTTGGGATTGGTGGCCGTGCCTGGGACAGGGTTTAAATTTCCCGAGGTCTGAGATGTCAGGCAGTCAGGAAGTGAGGGGAGAAAGCCAGAGCTACTGGGAGCCAACTAGCTGGAGCTGCTGCTGGGATCACTGAGGAAAGCTCTTGTCACAGCTGACTCCTCCAGCATCAGAAAGGTAATTTCTGTTTGTTTGTTTGTTTGTTTTACCTGACGTGCTGTTCTGCCTCCAGCTCTAGTCAAGGAAGCATTGGACAGGAGATCTTTGAAAACTGCTTCACTGGACAGGACCATTTGATGTTTCTCTGGGTAAAAGGTCTGCTTTTATAGGAGCAAGATTGCTTTAGCAATGCAAAGTAGTATATGTAATCACTAGTTAAAATCTGTATGCTGATTGATGTTTGGAGGATGTTACTGAAAACTACCACTGAATCAAGTGCTGGAAACTCGAAGCTGGTACTTGAACAGAGAAAGCTTCCTCCCTCACATAATCAGTGTCTGGCAGTATCTGTATTTCTCCTGGCAGGCTTGCAGTTTATGCTGCACACTACTGAATGGACGGGACAGGCACCCTTCTCTGTCTGACTCTTGAAACTGCAGTCCCTCTCATAGTGTCCTGTCTCAGGGCCAGCCTTACTAATGTATTTTAACTGTGCCTTTAGTAGCCTTTCTTTCCTGCTATGATTTACTAAAGTTTTAAATACTTCTTGTTCATCAGTAAACTAGTTTAATTTCTCAGGAATGTTGCTTATCCTGGGAATTTGCCAGCACCAAAATTTACTGTAGCTCAGCATGTTCTTAATTTCATCGGGAACCACTCATTTATCAGACTGCTAAAACAGTGATGTGAGCAGGTATTTCACTTCATCTCTTGCTTGGAAACAAAGGTTGCTCTGTTCAAACTTCTTTGGGGGAAATAAAGATCTATTAATAAAAGGAGTTTATGTTCATATTAATTGAGTTTACTCACAACAGGTCTAGTTAATAACCCTGAAAAGTAGTTTTAAAATAACTAAAAAGATAATTTGGGCTGGGCTTGCCTTGTCCTGTCTCTTCTGACAAAATGATAAACCTAAACTTTATAGTTCTTTGTTTTTCACAAAGCTTTTCCTTTTGCCAGTGCAAGTCAGAAGATGACAGGAGTCTGCTCACTCTCTCAGTGTGGCTACTTGCAGCACTTCTTAGTGTCTGGTTTTAGAATTCTTGCAGCTTTTCAATTGCTACATCATTACAAAATGGGCTGGGTGTGGGGTGGTGATAGAGGACAGAGGAAGAAGATTGGCATGGGCAGGTTGAATCCTTAGCAGAGAGCTGGTCTCAGCATGATGAAGAACACCAGGAGAAAGAAGATGCATATGTCATTCTTTGTGGCATTTTACCCTGTCGGCTCACTGTTCCAAAATATTTTCTAGGTAAAACATCACAATGAAGGTGGCAGTTCTGTGTTTATGCCTTATCAGTGTTGCTGCTGCATGGCCAGTAAGTAAATCACAAATATGTATTAGCAATCACATATTTTCTTTGCACATTAGCAAGAAATTAATACTGACAAATGCTTTTTTCTCCCTTCAAGGTGAGTAAATCCAAGCAGCATGCCATTTCTGCCAGCTCCGAAGAAAAATACGTAAGCTCCTTTTGTCTTTCTATTAATTTTCTTTAATAAATCCTTTTATTTTTTTTTCTAATACATATTGTCTGACATATGTTTTATGATTGTAGCTGCTTGCAGAACATGCCCTCACCTGGCTGTTATGAGCCAGTTTCTCAGGTACCCAAAGCAGAGTACCACTGAATTCAGCAGACTTTTGCCATGTTAAGCATCCTGGTATCTGGTGGTGGACTCTCGTCATAGCTGTATCTCTGGACCAGCACTGGAAACCCTCTTTCTTAATGAAAAATGTGTAAGCTGCCAGTTAAAAATAGAAAAGGACTGTAGCATGGCACATATAACCCACATTCATTAGTGTGGATCAGATGACGATATTAGGTGTTGGAAGAGCACTTTAATTCACTTCTCATGAATTTTTGGAGTGGTGTGAGTGAATAATATTGGTCTTATATAGAGCTATTTGAGTTACACTCCATCACCAGCAACTGCCCATGTAAAATCAGTTACTGACTCTGAGAATCAGCTACTGCTTTTAGCTTAGAGGCTTCATGATGTGGGAAATCATTCCTGAGAATTAGCAGAACTGATAGAACTCCAAATTTCACTCAATAAAAATGTGCTGGAGAAACTGGGCTGAAATTCCCCAGGTGCCAGTGGGGGAGGTACATCTTCTGTATTATAGTGTTTGGGTATAATGGTCATCTGGGATCACAACTTGTTTGGAGGCCTCTTTCTGTTGCAATGAATTGCTGAGGACGCAGCCCATACCAAAGGAGTATGCATTGCAGGTGCCTCATTGGCCTGAAAACAGAGGTTGTGGTGCAGACAGCTTTGCTTGCTTCTGTATGCTCCTTTGTGAATTAAAACTACCTTTATTTTTCCACTTAAAGGACCTCAGGGGCCATCAGTTACACAGACATCACCCCCACCATGTGAATTCTCAGTCTTGGGAGAGTCTGCAGCATGCACGGAATGACCTGGCATCACCTCAGCAGGTATGTGCAAATAATTGGAAAAGGAAGAAGAGCATCTTTGAATGCCAAGATTTGCATGTTAAGATTAAATGCTTAAAGAATGGTCAACATGCAGATCAACTTTATTGTCTGTGCCCTGGCATTCTAATAGTGAGTTTGCTGTTGTTTTCAGACTCTTTACTCTTCAGAAGAAAGTGTGGATGTCCCAGAACAACCGGTAAGTGTGTTGAACAGCAGAATATCAGTTGGGTATTGATAAAATACCAGATAAAAGTTTTGCACATCTTGTATATGTTCATTTGTCTGATGGATACTAAATGTTTTCCAGCGCTTTCCTGATGTGTCAAGCAAGAGCCATGAAGATGTGGCTGACGATGATGATGATAATGATTCCAATGACACAGATGAATCCGACGAGGTTGTCACCAGTTTTCCCACAGACATTCCAGTAACTGCATCCTTCCCTCCTTTCCCTTTCACCCGGGGAGACAATGCTGGCAGAGGTGACAGTGTGGCCTACAGAGTGAGGGCAAAAGCCACATTGGTGAAATCTAGCAAACTCCGCAAAGCTGCAAAAAAGGTAAATAGTGCTGAGCAGCACGGTCCATGTTTTTGGGAAAGGGTAGTGAACTTTAAAATAGACATGTTATTTTATGGGAGTTATCTGTGAAAAGGATTGGTGGGAGGAAAGGTAGGCAAAAGTGAAGGAATGTATTTCCTTTCTCTGGACACCCCAAATTGGTGAGGGCTGTTGATGTGCAGAGGCAGGACAATATATCCTGGTTTGAGCCGGTTGCACTATCATGATGTACTTGCACAGATGAAACCTGAGGCCAGGATCAAACTTGAGTTTCTTGTAATGTGAAAGGTCCATGTAACTCCATAAAATGACCACGGTGTCTCTGAGCAGAGTTGTATCATGCAGGCTTTGAGTGTCCCTGCAGCCTACACTGCTTGCTTTGGTGCAGTACAGCACTATCTGGTGACAGATCAGTTCCTCAGGAGTGACATTGACTCCTTCTTGTTCTGCTCTGTAACACAGCTCATGGTGTATGATGCCACCAAGGAGGATGAGAGCGACCTGGATGCAGCCAGCCAGCAAGCAGGACTCTCCTGGGAGGATTCTGCTGCCCACCGCTCCCTGGGGAAGCACATCAGCAGCGGAAAATGGGCTGACAAGAGCCATGGGCAGGACAGCAGTGAGCTGGACAGCAAGTTGCGTGACTGGAGTATGGAAAACAGTCAGCAAAAATTTGACAGCCGTGAGAGGGAAGGAGATGATGACAGCAAGGCTAGTGTCAGAGGGGACAGTCACCAGAGCATAGAAAGCAAGGAGAGCCAGGTCCATGTTTCAGCTGAGATCCCTGATGATAACAGCAGTCAAATGCTGGAGAGTGCTGAAGATGCTCAAGAACATCACAGCATCAAAAATAACGAAGTCACCCTTTAAGAGGAAATGTAGTTTTCCCATTCTTCTTCAATACCTACCTAAAGGGAGGGGGGAGTAGCTTCATTGCAGGTAACTGTTTGTAAATGTAGAGCGTGTGGTCATTTTTCGGATTTGGGGCGGCCTCCCCTTGGCCACCAGCAGTCACGCTGGCTTCCTAGGATGCAGTCGTTGGAAGCATGGTGAAAGGAGAGCAGTGTGGACGCATAGAGTGAGTGTTTACGTCTCTGGCATGCTGCTCTCTGTACTGCCAGCCTGAATTTTGCTGTAACTGGATTTAAATAAAAATACAAAACTCTGTACCTCTGGGCTATGTTATTGTGTGCTGGGATGGGGGCTTTCTGACTGCATCAGGAGTTTTAATACCTCTCCTGTTTATGTGAAATAGCTGTTCCCATGCAATTCATTAAATGGGTAAAACTCCTCTGCAGGGCTTGCTTCATATTTACCGAGAGCAAGCGAAGAGCTGGCCCGAAATACCCGGCTCCGGCCTCTACACTGCTCTCACTGAGGCGCCCCAGGGCTTCGCGTCTGGCTGGGAGGAGACGACGCGGGGCCTTCTCCGAGGGCACGGTGGGACCCTAGCGGCTCCCGCTCGGGGTCGTGACAACTACATCTCCCTCCATGCCCCGGGCTTTCCGGGCCGCCGCC